TGCCTAACCCTCTTCTCAGCCTGAGACCCAGGGGCTCAGGGATGTGAAGATGTGAAGATGCCCAGTGAGGGCACCAGGTCTCATGGAGGAGCTGCCTGGAGCTTAGCCTGAGCCCGGAGCCCCCCTCCCTGCCGTGAGCACTTCATCTGGCCAACCTGGTGGGACAGATGCAAGGGCATCTCTTTCCAGATCATCCTGCTCACAGCTGACCCTGGGGGGGCTCAAGGGCAGCCTGTCTCCATGATGTGGGGGAATGTCCTTTGCTAGATGCTTCCAGAAGCAATTTGTGTTTCCTGGCAGAGACAAAGGGAAAGAACTCCAGGTCTTCCATCCACTTATCAGGGACAAGCATAAGGAAAGAGTTTTGGGGTTAAGAGCTTAGGCTCTGCCCTTGGGAAATGTGGGTTCAAGTCCTGATTCCAGGTCTGTAACCCTGAACAAGCTCTCAGTCTTAGTTCTTCCTTATGAAGAAGAGCGAAGGTCATTATAGCCAATTGGTGGGGGTGCTGTTTAGGACTGGAAAGTGGTCTATACAGAGCCTGAGCTCCTGGCACCAGGAGGTGACAAACTGTTAGCACCGTTACGGCGGGGGGCCTGGCTTTCTGGGAAGTCTTCAGGGAGACCACGAGTCCACCATAAGGCAATGCTCTCGTGTCTCCCTGGCCCACCAGCCCTCAGCTGGGTGACCTTGAGCTAGTCACATTGCCCTACTGGGCCAAGTGTCTCCCTATGTGGGAGGAAAGGGCTTCTTGGGACGGCTGGTCCACCCTCCCATGGGCAGGAGCCCACGGGGCGGGCCTGCAGAGGGTGAGGGGTGGGGGTTGGGGGGCCTGCAGGAGGCAGGGGTCGCGCGGAGCCCCAGGAAGCACTGTGCTGCCACAGTGGCAGACAGTATTGTTTGTGAGTTTGAAATTTCCTGACAGACAGAATGAGCCATCTGAAGCGCGAGTTTCATTTCCGTGACCGTCCAGCTTGGCCATCTCCTGGGGAAGGCGTGTGAGTGACAAGCTATAATTAAAGCCTCAGTTTCAGTCCGAGTCGGAGAAGGATGGTTTTTTAGTCAAGCCTCTGGTGAGGACAGAGCTTTCCGTCTGCGGGTCTTTGGGGGCCCTCTCCCCGGTCACTGTCTGGCTGCTGGACAGGCCCTCCCTGTGGTCCTGACCTTTCCCGACCTGGCGGGAGCTCTCCCACATTCTCCGGCTCTAGCCCATCTGCCTGCTGCCCCGAGAAACCTGCGGACCTGTGTGGATCAGGGCCCGTGACGGAGGCCTCTGTCCTGAGGCCCCAGGCGGCCACCAGTCCGGGGTAGGGTGAGGGCCCGACTCTTCCTGCGGGAGCTCCCGCGGTCTGCGGTGGGGACACTGAGGCCTGGGTCTGGGGAGGGCCTTGCTCTGCGGTTCACCCTGCCTGTGGCTCTGGGGCGTGCCTGTGAAGGGTGGGGGTGCCCCTAGATGGGGGGGGCTCCTGGCTTCACCCAGAAGCCTCTGCAAACTGGGGCCACCTGTGTGACCTGGCTCTGTCTACCCCCCAGTAGGGCTGTGATTTCTCTTCTTCTGCAGCCACCCCCACTCCCACTTCACCCCTGTTCTTGCTCTCTAAAGATTCATTAGGGACCTGTGCTATGTCCCAGAAATACAGTTGAACAAGACAGAGCTTCCCCAGCATCCAGAGTGGGAGTCAGCTGTTCGGGCACAGAGCAGGGCAGCTCAGGCCTCCGCTGAGCCTGCTGGGTGAAGGCCACAGGGCGGCACCTGCCCCACTCAGGTGTCCTGCTCTGTAAGCCCACTGCCTGCTCCAAGCCCTGCCCACTGAATCCCCCCCACCCTCCGACCCTGACCAGAGAGAGAGAATTTTCTTCCTTCTCCAGCCTGAGCCAGACTGTCCAAGGCTAAAGGGTCACAAACCCGCCCATGTCCTCCTTCCCAGGCCACCTTGACCACTGGCCTATTTCTGCCTATTCCTTGGCAAGGAGGCAATATTCCTATTTTTCCAGCCTGGTCAGCAGGGTGCCAACAGGGCCCCTGACCATCCTGCGTTTGGCTAACTAGGAGCATATTTCCCCCTGCTCCCTCATTTATTTATTGTGTGTATTAACACTCTTGTCATTTTTCATGCATTTGTGGTCATCCATGAAACCAGAGGGTCCCCAAAGAGCAAAAGTATTCCTACCACTTCTTAAGGGACCCTTCCCAAACTAGCAGCTGGGTGGGAGGCGAGTGCCAGAGGAGAGCTGGAGAGCTGTTCCTCTTGGTCCTCACCGCACCCTCTGCCATCGTCTCTCAGAGCCAGGGAGCTGATGGGGGCAAACTGTACCACCCCTGCTCTCCTGCCTGCCGGCTCCTCCTCAGGCCCAGCTGCTGGCATACGCTGCAGGGAGGCCTTGGAGGAAGGGAAGGAGAGAGAGGTCAAGACGCTTGTCTGCCCAGCTCCTTCCTTGAGGGACCATGAGGGGCAGTGGCTGACCAGTCCTGTCAGGCAGGCCCTGAGCTGTGGATCCCGCTCTCCCCAGACTCCTAAAACATAACCCCTAGAGGTGGGGAGGCCAATGTTGCCCACCTCAGTGGGAACATTGGAATTCGTTTCCTAGGGCTGCTGTAACAAAGCACCACAAACCAGGCGGCTTCAACAAGACTATATTCTCTTAGGGTTCTGGGGGCTGGAAATCCAAAATCAAAGCGATGGCAGGGCACTGCTCCCCGAGACCCACAGAGGAGAATCTGTCCTCCCCCCTTCCCTCGGTGGTAGGCCGGCAGTCCTCTGCCTTCCGTGGCTGGCAGGCACCTCTTCAGTCTCTGCCTCCGCGGTCACAGGGCATTCTCCCTTCATGTCTCTGTCTCCTTTCTTCTTGTAAGGATACCAGTCATATTGGATTAAAGGCCCACCCCTCTCCAGTACAACATCTGCTTTTCTATTTACATCTGCAATGACCCTTATTTCCAAATGAGGTCACATTCTGAGGTATGGGGGACGGTGAGGTTAGGGATTCAACATATCATCTTTGGGGGATGCTCCTTATAACACTGGCGGTTGCTTCCTGGTCCTCGTTTCCTTAGCGCCCCCCTAGCTCTTTAAAGAATCCTGTCATTGAAGCCTCTTCCATTATCCCTTTGAATATGCTATGTCTCCAGCCCTGAAACAGATCCCTGCTCTGACCCTTCCCAGCTGTGTGACCTTGGGCAAGGCACTTAACCTCTCTGAGCCTCAGTTTCTTCACCTCTGAAGTGGAAATAGTTTTCACACCTGCTCTGCCTACATTGCTGTTCCCAAAAGCTCTTTGGCGAGCAAAAAGGCCCATAGCATTGACCGGGGTCATTATCATCCTTTGCGTGTGTGCGAGGTATAGTTGGGAAAGGCCCACATCCACATTATTCTCTTTGATCTGAACTGAAGCTAGCACCACATGCCGAAACACGCTGAATATACGCTCCTTGATGCTGTTGATGACGTATCTCGTGCTTCTGGCCCAGCCTTGGGAGGCCGAACACCGAGCTGTTTCCCGGAATACAATTCATCCAGGGCCAGTTTCTTGGGATCCTTTTGATTTGGACTTCCACTGAACCCTGACATCACAGGCTGCTCCATCACCAGTCCTGGGAGAAGCCAGCATCCCCCCGAGTGGAGCCCTTACTTTTAGTGCGACAGCTATTTTATCTAGGCCGCAGGGAAACAGAGATATTTTAAGATGAGTGTGTCAGCTGAGGTCAGTTTCCGCCCGGCTATCACTTGCACTGTCAGGAGGAGAGAGATTTCGGCTGTCCGGCGGGAGCCCATCAATCACTTCCGGCAGCCCTTAATCAGACAAAGGAGCCCTCACCGCGGTGTTTCAGAGAGGGAGACTGTATTATTGCTCACACTCAACAAATAATTTCGGACAGGAGTTCTAAGCCCACAAATAAGATCCCTTGTATCTTTCAAGTGTTTAGAATCCCTAAAGGTGGTGGACGGCCTTCCTCCCAGGTTTGAGGGTCTCCCGTTCCTCTCCCAGCACAATTCTCTTTCCCCAAGCTGTTCTCATTCATTCATTCGACCAATATCCACTGAGCCCGTGGCCGGGCCTCTGCCAGGTGCTAGGGATAGCCCTAGGGAAGCAAAGAACTTCAGTGCCACGTGAGAAGCATGGGCGCTGAGGGAGGTACAAAGTGCTGAGGAACCAGGAAGGAGTGAGCAGCTCTCCCTGGGGGTGTGGGAGGGCCACAAGGTGCGGGGGCAGGCCCAGGTTTCACCAGAGGAGCAGCTCAGTCCGGCTCCAAGGACATCTGCAGGTGGTTGGTGGACAGTAAGGCCACTCCAGGAAGAGCAAAGTTAGAGAAGTGGGCAGGAACACTTGGGAGTGTGAGTAGTTTAACAGGTGGGGAGTAGAGGAGATGAGGCTGGGGAGGGGGGCTCTGACTCCGTGATGAAGAGCTTTGTGCATTTAGTAGAGCAGAAGCTCCATGAGGGCCAGCACCTTGCCTACCTGGCTCCCCACTCTTTCCCTGCTCCTGGAACAGTGTCTGGACAGGGGAGACATTCAGGGAATATTCCTTGAATCCATGAAGGAGTAGTGAGTGCCTGGCTCGGAGGCTGAGGCTGAGCCAGCCCCCGTCGGCCCCACTCTCGGCATTCTCCAGTGTAAACACCTTCCAAGACTCCCAGCAGTCACTTGGAAACATCTATTTTCCTTTGGCTGGCATTCAAGGCTTTACTGATCTACCTCCCATCCCCTTCCCCAACTGTATGTTCTAAGTCAGGAGTTGGCAAACCATGGACAGCCAGCTGAATCTGGCCCACCACCTCCTTTTATAAATCATTTTTATTGGAGCCCAGCCATGCCCATTGGTTTAGATGTTGTCTGTGGCAGCTTTCCTTTTACGAGGCAAGGCTGAGGAGCTGCAACAGACACCTTCTGGCCTGCAAAGCTGGAAATACTATTTGGTCTGTTTGAAGAGAAAGTTTGCGGCCCCTGTGCTAAGACTTGGGACCTTGCACCTTGAACATAGCAGATGCTCAATCCATAGTTGCTGAACAAATAAATCAGTGAACTTCCTGAGTGCACTTACCCCAACTCCTTCCTCCTGTCCTTTGAGTCACACCCTGACTTCCATGCTCTTGTGGCCTCTCAGGCCTGGACACAGCACTGCCTGGTGACCTATCAGCAAGATAGAGCAGTGGGGCAGGGCTGGACACCCCCATACACAGGCCGGGACAGACAGATCCTGGGGCCTTCATTCGGATGTGGCTGATGAAAGGTTTTAGCACCAGGGCAGCCATGAAGACATGGGAACGGCTGCAGTATTGGTCAGAGCTCTTTGGCTTACAGAAACCCTATCAAACTGCAAAGGAAAACATGGGGGCTTTTTGGGTGGGAAGCAGAGGGTAGTTTCCAGTTCTGAGAAAATGCAGGAAATTGGGCGAATCCAGGGACCAGAGTAGAGGAGGCCATGACTCCCTTTTCATCCACCCCTTTCCCTCATCTCTGCTCTTGAGTCCACCTGCTTCCTTCTCCTCTTTGACAGACTGGGTTTGCTCCCACCAACAGGCCTAGGTGCCAGCTTGCCTCTTTGATACTCTACTGGTCTAGGGACCCCAGAAACTCTAGTTAGCACTGGCTCGGTGAAGGACTCTGATTGGTCAGATTGGGGCTAGTGACCAGGCTCTGAGCCAATCCCGGTAGCCGCCCTCGACCTATGGGTGGGGTCTATTATCGGACGAACAGGGGTTTGGTGAGCGCAGCTAAGGATCTGAACAAATGTCCATGACCAGGTAGCCGTGCCATAGCAAATGACGCAAATGACGCAGAGCCCTGCCTACAGAGCTGAGGCACCAAGGGAGCAAGGAAGTGTCTTGGAAGCAACAGAAAGCCCTGCTAGCAACCTGGGGCACGGAGTCAGCATCGTACCCGCAGCACAGGTGACGTTGCTGAGTCCTAGAATTGAGAGTTGGGGTTACCTCACATTCCTCCTCCTTCCCGTTAAGATTGGTCCTGGGAACAGAGGTAGGTAGGTCTGAGCCTGCAAGGGGCCCAACCGAATGCCCTCATGGGGGGATGTCTCACAGCCAGATCCTGCCCATTCGTTAAGCCCTGCTTACGTGTCCTTCCTCCAGGCCACCCTCTCCAACCTTCCCTCCTGGAAGGGCTCACCTCCACCTCTGACTTCTCACTGAACACTGGGCCTTTTTTCACCCTGGGCACTTACCACATTCCCTGTCCAGGGTTGTTCCCAGAACTGTCTCTCTGTGACAGGGTCTCACTGTAGCTGGAATGAGAGAGTAGATAGCAGACACGAGGTCTTCTAGGTCTTCTAGGTCTTCTACTTGATTATTTTCCTGGAAGGCTCTAGCGCTACCCTGTGTGCATAACACAGAATCCCAGGAATTTGGATTTGAAAGCCACTTTCTGCTGGCTACTTTAATGCTATTGGGGCACCTCCACCGATGGCTGACTCTTCTTTACTAGACACGTATCCCATGGAAAATAACTCTGATTCCACCAAAACATTATCTGCCTCCTTATAACCTCTTCTCATGTGATTTCCAGCTCGTCTTGGAGGAACTCAGAAAAAATTGAGTTGCTCTTCGAAATTGCAGGCGTGTATATATTTGAAGAACCTAATCATGGTACTTTTCCTTCCATATCTTTTCTTCAGGCAGACTCCCCAAGTCACTGTTACTTAGTGGTAGCCAATGGGTGAGGGATGGGGTGGGGAGTGGGTACCAGACTCAGCATCCTGGTCAAGTCTGATTTGAGCATAACACTCCAAATGTGATCTTACCAAGGCCACTAAAGGGGACTCTTTTGGCTTTGTGTGTTAGGATGCTTACAGGTAGAATACAATAGAAAACCCAAGCAAAAGGGGCTCAAACAATTAGGAATAAAAGGATTATTCTTCAAGGAGAAGTCCTATGGTGGAGTGGTTTAGGCCCAGTCAGTGCCCCAAGAGAGCCATCACTGACCTGGGCATTTCCTTTTCTCCAGCATATGTACTCCTCATTTGGCTGGTCTTACAATAAAATCCAGATTCCTCATGGTGCCCAGTCTGCTGCTGCAGTTCCAGACCTCACATTCTAACAAGGTTTAGGGGTCAGAAGAGAGAGGGAGGGGCAGGTGTTTCTAGGCATTCTTTTTTTTTTTTTAAGATTTTAATTTATTTATTCATGACAGACAGAGAGAGAGAGAGAGGCAGAGACACAGGCAGAGGGAGAAGCAGGCTCCATGCAGGGAGCCCAACGTGGGACTCTATCCCAGGTCTCCAGGATCGGGCCCTAGACTGAAGGCGGCGCTAAACTGCTGAGCCACCGGGGCTGCCCTAGAGGGGAATTCTTTTTAAAACAGTGGCAAACTTTACCAAAAGCTCCCCAAATGTACTTGCCCCCATATCTCTTTGGCCAGAGTTGAATGATGCGCCCTTTTCAAAACCATAAGTGATGAGGAAGAGAAAGGAAGCTGTGCAATGAACTTAGATTCATCAAGATTGACCCACTGTGGAAGGGGAAGGGTTAGTCCCGAAGACAGGAAGACCTAAATTCAAATCACTTTGTTGCTAAACTCCAGTACCTTGATGTGAATCACTAATAGCTGGAATCAATGTCACTGAGCCAGTTTTCTCCTCTGTGAAAGGGGCTCAGCCCTAGTGCCTGTGCACAGAAATGGTATGTGGTCATTTAAGTATCTGATCCAGGCAACCCGGGTGGCTCAGCAGCTTAGCGCCACCTTCAGCCCAGGGCATGGTCCTGGGGACCCAGGTCGAGTCCCATGTTGGGCTCCCTGCATGGAGCCTGCTTCTCCTTCTGCCTGTCTCTGCCTCTCTCTCTCTCTCTCTCTCTCTCTCTGTGTGTGTCTCTCATGAATAAATAAGTAAAATCTAATAAATAAATAAAGCATCTGATCCTGGTACATCTACTGAATTTTGTCTTCTTTCTTTCTTCCCCCGATTTCAGACCTCTGACCATGCCACACTGGCTCCTACCTAGTTTCTTTGCTGCTTTTAAGCCCCATTTCTCACATCTGATGTTTATGAAACCTTTTTTTTTAAAAAAAAATAAAACCTAAATGCAGGAATTTACGTTTATCCCTTTTACATGTTTTCGGCCCATTATTTCAACTTGTCAAGATATTTCTGAGTCTCGACTCTGCCAGCCTTTCTATTAACAATCCCTCCGGCTTTGTGTCAACTGTAAATTTGATAGGCACCTCTTCTGTTCTGCTTCATCCAAGTTGTTGAGAAAGGGTTGAGGCAGACAAGGTCAAGGGCTGAGCTGCTGGGGTTGGGGGTGCCACCCACCGGGCCACCAGTGGGGCCCCATCACTGCTTCCCCAGTGCCTGTGCCATTCAGGCAGGCAACGCTGTGCCTTCTCATCCAGGGTGCAGAGGCTTTGAGGAATGGATCCCTTGAATTGCCACACTGGGCCCTTTGTCTAGGCACCCCCTGGTCCCTCCTGTTCTAGTTGTCCTTAGGACAGGAATTCAAGCAGGCGCTGCTCATCCTGGTGAACTCATGCTGGTTCCTTGGGATTCTTGCTTCCTGTTCTGTAAGTCTTTATACTTAAGAATATGCTGGGAGTTGTTATCAAGCTTGCCAGCCTGTCCTTACTGGGATTTAATGTTTTGTTCTAAAAATCGGGATGTGGGCTGTTAATAGTTCACCATTTTCTGCACTCTATAATCCCTCAGAGATGCCTGCCGGGGGTTCTGTATTGGCTCCTGACATCTTGCCATGAGCTCTCCAAGAGACCAGAGTTTCTCTGGCTTTATGTATGTTTTTTGTTTTGTTTTTTGAGAGAAAGAGAACACGCTTATAGGAGTAAGTAAAGATGGGGGAAAAAAGAATCTTAAGTGGAGCCCGATGGGCTGATCCCATGACCCTGAGACCATGACCTGAGCCAAAATCAAGAGCTGGATGCTTAACCCACTGAGTCACCTAGGTGCCCCTTGGCTTCATGTATGTTGAGTCCAATTTTCTTTTTCTTCTCCTCCTTTCCTTCCTCTCTCCCTATTCCCTCTCTTTATTTCTTGAAATAAAAGTTTTTAGGTATTTTCCAATATAATGAGTACATATTCTTTGTCAAAAATTTGGGAAACACCCATCTTAAGACATTACCCAATTTACAATTTGGTGTGCTTTCTTCCCATAGGCATAGCCTGTTTGTATTAGATAGTTGTAAACAGCTGATAATAGAATTAAAAGACATAAATATTTATAAATGCTATGTACCACAGTGTTCTTACTGTATACATAATACAGGGAACAGTAGTGTGTGTCCATGGTAGAAAATGGGTGACCTTGTCCTGTTACCTTGTTTCTACGTAACCTGTCAGCATACCTTTTCCTCTTACAAACTCTAAAGGGGTTTTGATGACTTTGAAAGAGTCCATAGGCTGGATGCCCCCTAGTTGCCCCCAGAGGCAGGCCCAAACACCCAGGTTGTAGTGTTTGCCCTGAACTCAGGAGGTACGTGACTTGAGGCAAGTCACTTACTCTGCCTGGCTTCAAAAAAGGGACTTGGCCTAGATATGTGGCTCTCAGTATTTTAGGGTTTCAAGACTCCCAGTGATCACTAATTATATTTTTATTGTCTATTGCTTGGGGGAAAAAATGACTGTGACTTTGGGAAGGTTGTGAGTGTGAGCTTTGCTGGAAGGGTGTCACTCACATCAATGTCCTAGAAGTAGCTGAAGGAAAGATTCAAGGTCCTGGGTCTGAGGAAACTCTGGAAAGCCTCTCTTCTGCTTCCTTTTCCATTTCCCCCAAAGACTGTAAGAAAAAGGGATCAGAGGATTGGGGGATGAAAGAATAGATAAAGATAGGGTTAGAGGGATGAGGGGCTAGAGAACAGGGATGAGGGAATGGGGGATGAAGATGGGGGATGGAGAAGAGGGAATGGGGGATGGGGATGGGGAGGATGGGGGAAGAGGGGGAGATGGGGGTTGGAGATTGGGGGCTCCCATTTGAGCCTGAGAGTCTTCTCCACATCCTCCTTCCCTCTTTTGTCTCTTTCCTCAGCCTTCCAGGGGCAGCAGCATTACTTTGGAGAATAGAGAAGTCATGAAGGCAGACAGGTCTTGGTGGGGCTGTGGTGTGTGGAAGAGGCAGGAAGAAGGGGCAGACAGTAGGGAGATCAGGGACACAGACAGAAGTCTGTGATGGAAGGGAAGGGGGAGCCCTGCCCCTGAGGACTGACAACAATGAGGTGGTGGCAGTGAGGAAGCCACAGCTCCTATTGGGTGCTCACCCGCCTCCACGATGTCCTCTGTGTGGCCTCAGGTGCATCCTTCTTTTCTCTGGGCCTCAGCTTACTCACTTTGGCAGTGGGGCGGGGCAGAGCTAGGAGGGTAGACCAGTCGGCAGCTTCAGCTCCATCTTGGGGTCCCCAAACCCAGCGCCCCTGTTCTCCATACAGTCTCTGGGGACAGGCCCCAGCCTCCCCAGGCCTGCAGTGGTGGCCTTGGGACCAGCGCCTCATTCCCTAGATGTAACTACCCATTACACGGAGCCACTCTCTACCAAGCTGGGGCTCTGGCAGCTTTATTATAAGTTTATTACATGCTAATTCAAGCAAATAAATTTGCCCCAGCTGTGAAGCAGAGGAGATTAATAACCTCAAAGATTACTTTGCTGCTTTGATGAGTTTCTTGAGCAGAGTATATTTAGGAAGAGCAACTAGATTAGTCAAAACCCCCTTTAATTATTAGTGACACTGTGCAAACGACTCTATACGACTGGAATACCAACTACTTAACTCCCTGACCTTCTTATTCAAATAAACACATCTTATTATAGCAACGTGCCTTCCTAGTCCACACACCATGGCAAACTGCTGGCCTAAGACCTGGCGATGGGACAGCTGGCAAGCGAACTCCATCCATTAAGGGTGGGATGACAGCCTTAAAGGTATACATCCCCATTTCTCTGTCTTCACCCTTGGATTGGATCAGGGCCATAGGGAGTGCCGTGGATGTCCTAGAGTTAAAAGAAACAGTTAATCAAATGAGGAAAATGACTTGGCCAAAGTCATGCAGTAAATTAGCCATATGGTCTCTAGAGCTCTGTCACCTAAGTCTTCTACTCCAAAATCAGTTCTGCAGCAAGAGGCTGGGTCTGCCTCCAGTGGAAACTGTGAAGGTGACCCAATCCAATTCCAGGGACACCCTTACCCCTCACTCCTCCACAGGTGTATGGGGCCTTTGCTTCCTTCCATCTTAGAGCTCTTTTTTCCGTGAAGCCTTATACCACTTGGAAATGCCACTTCCCCACATTCAGGGAATGAAGGGTAGAGGAGTCATGTAACCAGGGATGCTGACATCTCCTGCCAGGGAAGGGAAGGGGAGCCGTCAATGGAATCCTCTGCTATACAGCCAACCAGGCACAAGGTACCATCCCTGAATTCCAACAATGAGCCCATGAAGGAGGCTCTACCCATTTGTTTTCTAGATGAGGAAACCAAGGCTCAGAGAGTTTAAGCAACTTGCCCTGAAATGCCCTGCCCCCACTTGCCTACCTGGAAAATACCCCCTGTTTTTTTCTGCTTCAACTCAAGTGTGACCTCCTATGTGAAGTTTCCCTGCATGTTCTTCCTCCACACTGTCCCCAGCACTGATTACACTTGCTAGCACTGGTTTGCTTATGATTTGTCTCCTTTATTTGTCCCTTAAAAGCAAGAACTGGGTCTCTTTATCTTCATGTCCTGGGATCCTGGCAGAGAACCTGATCTTAGTACAGTATACCTGTACTAAGTTCTAAACTAACATTGACAAAGACTTGAAATTGTTCTAGGTAATCTTGGTTGCATGGCCAACATCTGAACCTACTGATTGGCAGGTTAGAAAAAAAATAGTGGGCAGCCCGGGTTGGCTCAGCGGTTTAGCGTCACCTTCAGCCCAGGGCCTGATCCTGGAGACCCAGGATCGAGTCCCACATCAGGCTCCCTGCATGGGGCCTGCTTCTCCCTCTGCCTGTGTCTCTGCCTCAGGAGAAGCAGGAAGGCTCCCTGGAGGAGGAATCTGTAAGGCCCTGAACCCCTGTTGAGAGCCAGGGCCCCTCGGGGGACCCCACCCCGCTCCTGGCAGAGACCCCAGCTCCAGAGCAGCCTGCCGAGTGCCAGCCACTGCTTCAGGCAGAAGGGCCCAGGGCCAACCCTAAGGCCCGGCCCGTGCCCACCTATGCACCTGCCCGGCAGCCCGAGCCATCTGCCCCTCCAGAGGGTGAAGAGGCAAGCGGCCTCAAGCAAAAGACATGCCAGTGTTGTGCGGTCATGTGAGCCCACACCCTCCACCCCACATCCAGCTCCTCTCACAGCTACCTCGGCCTCTTGGCATCCAGCAGCGGGTCCTGGGCACAGACAGGGCACCCCCGGACTGGCTGTGGCACCTGGGAGCCAGCTGGCCCGCACGTCCACCTGGGCTTTCTGGATGCTTCCCACTGCCTGTGACCCTGGCCCCCTCTGACAACAAAGCCTTTATACTTGAAAATAAAACGTTCAAGCAAAAAAAAAAAAAAAAAAGCCACTTGCTTTTATCCCAAAATTTAAAAAAGTATTATCAGAGTGGAAAAATTTGCTGATGGAAATCCTTGCATCAAATGATGCTTTGGCTTATTATTTGGAGCATGTAACTGAGACAGATCCCTCAATATTTTACTCCTTCTTTCTTCCTTTTGTAATAGAACCTCAAGATTTTAGCTGAGGAATTTTATTCCAGCAAAATGTATCGTAGTTTTCCTTGCAGCTAACTGGTCAATGGGATATAAATGGAAGTTGTGTGTGCAACTTCTAGGTTCTGCCCTTAAAGAGAATTGGTCTCCTTTTCCCCTTTGCTCTTCTTGCTGCCTGGCATGAGACAGGCTCTGGGGCAGCCATCTAGATCACAAAATTGAAGCCATGTGTTGAGGGTAATGGAGTAACAAACAAGGTGAAAGAAGGCTAGGTCCCTTGCAGCATAGTGCCATCACAGCAGCCCTAGAGAGCTTACACTAGAAAAGTTAAGTGAGAATTGTATATTATTGTTATTTTAGGGTCTTTTTACAGCACCAAACTTCTATTCTAACCATAGAATGCTTTGATATGAATAAGTAAGGAGCAGCCAGACTGTTGATATTGCAAAATCTCAAGTCTGAGGTGCTTATACTACTTTGAGCATGTTTAGGAGCTGCTTAAATTTTAATAGATTGAGATTTGAAGGCTTCTTTTAAGAAAACTTGTTTTGTAGATGTGGCTTTAGAAACTTGAAAAGTTTTTCAGTTATAAAAAATCTTGAAAAAATGAATCCATAAAAATTGAAAAAAATCTAAATTGTGAAAGCAAAATGAAGGAAAGAAAACTTTGTATTTTTAAAAAAGATCTTATTTTTTAAAAAAAATCTTATTTATTTATTCATGGAGACAGAAAGAGAGAGACAGAGACACAAGCAGAGGGAGAAGCAGGCTCCCTGCAGGGAGGATCAGGACCTGAGCCAAAAGCAGACACTCAACTTCTGAGCCACCAGGCACCCCGACACCTGTGTGTTGATTGGTATGGTAGCATAATTACACAGAGAATAACTGTTTTAAGTGACTTAATTAGGGCAGCCCGGGTGGCTCAGTGGTTTAGCGCCGCCTGCAGCCCAGGGTGTGATCCTGGAGACCCTGGATCAAGTCCCATGCCAGGCTCTCTGCATGGTGCCTGCTTGTGTCTCTGCCAATCTCTCTCTCTGTGTCTCTATGAATAAATAAATAAAATCTTTTAAAAAAATTTACACTAAGAGTCAAAAAAAAATAAGTGACTTAATTAAATTAACTTGATTATCAGCCCAAGGGGGATATACCCTAATAAAAACAGCTGCAAAATTTTAAACTGTTTATTGATATGCATATTACTAATGATAATGCTGGTATTGTTTGAGATTGTTGGGTTTATATTGTGAGATAAGGAAGTGAGTAATTATGTTGATTTTATTGGGTTTTATGCTCAATGTGAAAGAAGGGATTATATGGATATAAGACTGATGGGGCTAAGTGAAAGCCCTATAATCCTGAGTCTGAATTGAGAGTATCAATATGAATTCAGGAAGTATGTTTTTATTTTTTAAGCTCAGTTCATTTTCTGTCCAGTGGAAAGACCTGGGAATAGTGGCTAACCTAGTAACAGTGAACACCTCTACAAACCAGATTATGGTCTCTAAATACTATTATCCAAGAAATGAAGATCCTCTGGAGAAGTGAGGATTCTAGTTCTAGGGCACAAAATGTGTAAGATGACCCTGGAACATTTGTTACATCAGAGATTACTGGTTAGTAGCAATTTGAAGAGGCTCCTATTGGCCAAAGGTGGGACAGTTTGATCATCAATAAAATAATAACTGCAATAGATATGTTTCAACATATCACATTTGATTATATGGGCACTCTATGCAATGCCATCTGTCCCACATCTGACCTTACTTATTGACAATTTGGAAAAAAAATTGAGATATTTTTCAAGCCATGAATTCATAATAAATTTTTAAAAGAAAAGAACAAGGGGTGGCCTGGGTGGCTTAGCAGTTTGGTGCCTCCTTCAGCCCAGGGCGTGATCCTGGAAACCCAGGATTGAGTCCCATGTTGGGCTCCCTGCATGGAGCCTGCTTCTCCCTCTGCCTCTCTCTATGTGTCTCTCATGAATAAATAAATAAAATCTTAAAAAAAAAAAGAAAAGAAAAGAACAAAAGCCAGTGATCACTTTTGGAGGATGTTACGGAACATTCATGAAGAGAAATGAAGAGAAGGAATCAAGCATTTACCTACTTTTGCTATATGCACCACAGGGTAGAGAAATGGTTGATAAGTAGCTTTTCAGATGAAGAGTGAGATACAAAGTTAGAATAACATCGTTTTGCAACCCTTAATGAAATTGTGAACAACTCCATATCACGTGCTATGTGGCAGAACACAGCATTATCCGTAAAGTGTTATTGCCAAAAAAACTGGACCTGAATTTTATCAAACCTATATAACTATCAATATCTTTTGAAAGCGAAGGAAAAACATACTGAAGGACACTGTGGGGATGTGATCAGCAAAATCTCAGTTGTGAAAAACCTACGGAACTGTGATTCTAGTCTTTTCAACAAGCAAGGTAGGTTCTATGTGTAGGTAGGGTCACTGTGTTGGTGACATCACTCCAGCCCAGGATATCAGAGGCAGAGTAGGTAAGAATGGTGTCCCTGGTGCAAGGTGGTAGGGGGCAGGTGGCAGCAGCCCAGTGTGGGGTGTCGGTGCCCAAGCAGGGTGAGTGAGGAGAGTGTCTTTGTGGCAAGGCACATGAGAGTTAGAGTCCAGTGAGGAGAGTGTCTGTATTGGTGGGTGGGGAGTATTCAGAGGCTGGGTCAGGGTGGGAGTGGCCACAATGGCAACCCAGCATGAGGAGTTAGAATCAGGGTGAGGGGAGTA